AAAAACTATTTGAAACTAGAATAACTGACCCGATGTTATCGGGATAATAACGGTTGGTCCTTAGCGATAATTTCTACCTGCGATTGCAAAAAAACTCATCACAATTCCTAACTTAAAAAAGAAGTATCTATGTAATGATATTTACGTTTCTAACATCATTAAGTTTTGAGAAGTATTTATCTGCTATATATTATACGCCTACCTTACTCCCTTTCACGCTCCTAAACTAGATTTCCCCCCTCTAAACATGACCTTAAATTACCCAGTCTAAATTATCACTAATTATATCACTTTTGTCACTAAAGAAGTTAATTGAGGGACAATTACAACGCTAGAGAAATACTTTAGATTTACCCCTTTTCGAGACCTTGAATTACAACTTTTTTTTTCTAAAATTTTTTAAAAGCCTAATCTTAAATTCTCAACAAAAACTCGATGTATGATATTAATATATTTTATATTACAGCAATTCGATATACTTTGATATCTTCATCAAATATTCAAACACATTTTTTCCTGTTTTTTTTAAAAAAATTATACATTATCAGAAAATAGTAGAACAAAGAATTCTTTTATCTAAAGAAGAATCTCGCAAGCGTTTTTCACGTCTACAACAGACTTGAGTCTTTTTTTATTATTTTTTTTTTCTTTTTCGTTATGTTTAAATTGGTGAAGTCATAAAAATATACACCGATTTTAATTTTTTGCAAAGTAAAAACAAAAATACGTTTTCAATTTTTTTTTAAAAAGAAAATATTAACCTATCTCCATTTTTCACAATTGAATTTTCAAGTGTGTAAAATGATTGGGTTTTGATATTCATGGGTGGACTTACATAAATGTACCCACGTTTTGATGACGTCATGGGTGGACTTACATAAATGTACCCACGTTTTGATGACGTCATGGGTGGACTTACATAAATGTACCCACGTTTTGATGACGTCATGGGTGGACTTACATAAATGTACCCACGTTTTGATGACGTCATGGGTGGACTTACATAAATGTACCCACGTTTTGATGACGTCATGGGTGGACTTACATAAATGTACCCACGTTTTGATGACGTCATGGGTGGACTTACATAAATGTACCCACGTTTTGATGACGTCATGGGTGGACTTACATAAATGTACCCACGTTTTGATGACGTCATGGGTGGACTTACATAAATGTACCCACGTTTTGTTAGCGCCGTTGATTTTTCTGAATGGTTAAACATTCGTTTATTTGTAAAAAGAGAATGTGAAATCTCTTTTAGCGCAAAGATAATACCACGGTTTGCCTTGTCAAAGTTATGTGGTGGGGTGGGTGAATATACATTTTTTTTTGCTGTTCTCTATTTCATAAATGTATTTTATTTTAATGTCATGATTATGTCTCCTTTGATAAAATGTTTATGTACAGCGCGGTGAGCCCAGCCCTAGGCTAGGGTACCGCGCTATATAAGACCACTTATTATTATTATTATTATTTAAATATATTGCCATGGACGTAAAGATGTACACATCCTATTTACTACCTGCGATATGTGTGTACCCAAAAAAGGGAAAGGGGGGGGGGAGGGTAATTATTTATCAAATTCATTCATTTATTTTGAGACTCATCTTGTGCTGCCTGAGGCAAAATAACCACACCACACCCCACTTAAGATTTTTTAAATTAAAATTAATACAATCTTGACCGGGATTGTAATCCCTTCCATACCCAAACTAACATATTTTGCACTTCACATGGCTGTATCTAATTTATAAGTGGATTAGTTTGGCTATGGAGTTTCCCTGCACTGATTGACTTAAACGGCATCATCTGATTAGAATTGTATTCAAAGATGAATGAAATTAAACAAGCAATTTTTATTTTGAAAAAAAGCTTTAGTTGAGGGAGGTAGTTCGTAAAAACTATTTAAAATGGGTTCAAATGTATTACGTTTCTTGAGAAGGGCGGACAACGTCCACTCAGGACTCATTTTTGTATTTCTAAGATTAAAAACACTGCTGACAACCAGGAGATGGGGACCTCCGGCACTTATTTTAGTGATTGTTTAGTTAGTTAGTTACGGAGAACACCAGTAAAGATATCCACAGAGTTTGACAGCAACTACAGCAGAACCTTTCCTCAGTGAACAGATTCGTGAGCCGCGGCATACAGACAAAAGGCGCCCCCCCCCCCCCCACTAATCCTGGAGAAGATAACTTCCGTTCAAACCAAAATCCAAGACCGTTCTCACTCAAGAACTCAAGAGTTATTCATACCGCTCACTTACACGGCGAATGTCTTGCTACAGGAACAACGTAAAAACATTTCAGGGGCTGAGGGAAATATGTACGATGAATGTAAAAAAAACAAATGCCCATTTATTTGGATAAAAAAAAATATCTTATCTTATCGTATCTTATCTTATCTTATCGTATATGGAGCTTAACACAGAGAAGTACGGTCTATTCGCATTTCACCAACGGACGAATCATTCTCAAACAGGTGTTTGGTGGTCAATGTTATGCTCCAGTGGGACACGCCATCCTTCTACCTAGAGGTCAAATTGGATCAAAAGGTGCAAATGCATATTTTTGAACAAGATCTCTGCTTCTAGGCACCCAAGCTCAATCTGGTGAAATAAATTGGCTTGCACAAGTTGGGGCGAAGGATCCAGTACGCTTAGAGCCGTTATTCAAGTCCGCGTAAGATCGGTAATGGACTACAGCATGCCGTTCTAGTCCTTTGCGAGCAGGACCGCATTGGAAATGGTGAGCCGAATCCAGAATCAGGATTTGAGATTCTTCTGTGGCACATTTTTAACCACACCCACAGGTGCTGTAGATGTCTTGGTCAATGTTGAGCCGCTGGCTTTAATGAGGAAGGAGGCAATTTTACATACCGACAATAGGTACCGACGGCAGAATGGAAAAGGAACCGTCGCTCCAAGGGCAAAACAAATCGGTAGAAGGGAGGCGACTGAAGAGATCCTCATTTATGCATCAGGGGGAGATGCTTGAGAGGACAGTCGACCTGCCTCGCTACAGAGAACGTCTGACCCTTGTCCCACCCACTCAACCCTATGCGGAACCCTTACGTCCCTTTATACATTGGTCTTGACTGATGCAGCAATGACGAATCACTTAACATGTCCAGAAAGCGGCTGCACTAGAGACCATGACTTTTTTTTTTTCGAATATTCCAGTGAAAATGTTCACCGACTGTTCTGCCAACTTGAGAGAACGAAGTGCTGGGTACGGTGCGCCCATACTTTACACAGCAGGGGGTGCGCCAAATCAGGAACTCTCGGGACCCGGTGGGACGGCAGGATCAAATTTGGTTCCAAATTAGAAGCTATTAACAGGTTCCTGGAAAGTGCTCTTCAAACAATGAAAGGGAGGGAACTTGCGGGCTTCGATGTGATTGTCTACTCGGGCTCAAGATCTGTTTCCGAGATCTTGAGAAAGAGAGCAGGTACCAGGGATCCACAAAATCAGGAACTCTCGGGACCCTGTGGGACTGCAGCTTAAAATTTTGGTTTGAAATTAGATGTTGTTAACAGTGTCCTGGAAAGTGACTATCAAATATTGAAAAGGAAAGGAGCTTGTGGGTCCCTATGTGTTTGTCTAATCGGAGTTAAGATCTGCTCTTGAGATCTTGGGAAAGAGAGCCGGTACAACGCATCTATTTGGCACCCTCATAGATAACGTGTGCAAGTTCGGTGAAATAGGAGAAACGGTGACAGTTCAATGGGTCCCAGTATATGTCAATGTCAGTTGCAATGAAAAAAGCCGACTCTCTGGTGAAACCGGGGGCTGCCTCAGCCAGAAGCACCATTAACGTATCTGAGAATCAAGAAACAACTTTCAGATCCATTTCAGAAGGAAATGGTACAGGCTATGAGCAGACAACACGACCACCAAAGGAGTTATCGCTAACTTGCCAACTCCAGGCGGACAAGACCCATGATGGGGGGTTAGGTCACAGGCAGCAGAGTCTGGTGACGTAGATACGCACGGAGCACTGCCCCATCGGCACATACTTCTGGAAGCTAAATAGCAACAGGTCCTGGAGACACTAGCGCACATGTTGACCAAATATCCCTCACTACATGTTCCGGGGGAAGCCAGGAGCGGTGGGAGAGTCCTTTACGTCTAAATACTAGAACAGTCAAATACTGTCTTTACTTCTAAGTTGGAATGCTATAAAGTTTGAATGATTCTGAATGCTCTAACTATTACAGAAAGCCTTTAATTTTAAGAGCTAAATTATCTGTTGTCTTACTTAAAATTCGCCTTCCAGGCAGAGGCGTAGCGAGGGTGTTTGGCGCCCAGGGAGGCGTAGCGAGGGTGTTTGGCGCCCGGGGACAAGATTCATTCTAAAGCGCCCCCTTTTCTTTTTTCAACTCTCAAACCCGTTATTTTTATCAATAAAAAATATCAAAGAACATTTTTTCGCCCCTAACTAGCTGGCGCGCGGGGACATCTGTCCCCCTGTCCCACCCCCTTCGCTTTGGCCTCTACTTCCAGGGACCTCATCTTTGTTCCTTTGCTAATTCACGTCTCAGAACAAAGATGTCCACTGTCCCAATGTTAAACTACGTCTCAGAACGAAGCTGTCCACTCTCCCCGTGTTAAACTACGTCTCAGAAAAAAGCTGTCCACTGTCCCAATGTTAAACTACGTCTCAGAACAAAGATGTCCACTCTCCCCGTGCTAAACTACGTCTCAGAACAAAGATGTCCACTGTCCAAATGTTAAACTACATCTCAGAACGAAGATGCCCGAACGCCACAAGCACACACAATACAATCAATTCAGAGCCAAATATCGTGCCTTAAAAAAGGACGGTCTTTTTGTTTTTTACCTTTCGTGACAAAAATATTGGAGGCGTCCTCAAAGAATGCGGCGGAACCTCTTCCGCAAGTGACGCCAATTGCACATGCATATCGACCAGTGTCGGACATCATTGCTTCTTTTACTGTAATCTTGCACTGGACAAGTTTGATGTTTAAACTATTGCCTGGGTTTATGCAAAGTCCCGTCCAATGTTTAGGAAGCTTTATGTAAAAATACATTTTATATTCGATTAATTGATGCAAATACATTTTATATTCGATTAATTGATGCATTGAAGTTATGTAAGGTGGGATGTGTACAAACAGTGAAATGTGTGTGATGTTTCGTTAGGTGTGCTATCTATTGCAATGTCCAGTATCTTTGATGCATTGTTAGGCGGATGATGTTTTCTTACAACATGAAATATGGCTGATATACAAACCATCCTTCTTTTTTTTTTCGTTATTACAAAATTTCTACCGACACTCATTATTTTTACGTGATCATTGAATGAGAAGCATGGCGTGTAGTAACAGTTTAATTAGAATGGCTGCAAATGATTTACACAATTATCTTACTCTGTTGGTGTGGCCGTCGGAGAAAGAGAGGATTACATTGAAGCTTTCAGGGAGATATCTGCGCACTTCTAAAAAATCTAGAAAGCAATTGGGCATGGTTCCTTTGACATGGAGGTGATCACATGTAATGGTGAACGTCTGCCCCTCTGCAACTGTAGTCTTGTCCACAACACTTTGACCACCAAAGACTAAGGAACAATTGATCATGGCAAGAGTTAGATTTACCTGTGTGTGAGTGTGTGTGTGTGTGTGTGTGTGTGTGCGGGATGTGGGGCTTTCACTCGCGTAATAGTATTCCTATCTAATGCCTGCGGACAAGCTGATGAACTGAGCCGTTTCCTTTCAGTTATTGAACTGTCTACCTTGCCGTTTTCTGCCGACGAATTGAGGAATTTTATACCGAGTACAGCTATCGCTTGCCGACAATCTGTTGAGCACTCCACTGATAAATACCATCGAAACAATTCTGTGTCAACACATGTCATACAACCTTTCTTTGTGAACATTTCCTCTAAGTTCTTCCCCAAACATCAAACTTTAGGGAGCCGTAAAGTTTTAAATAAAAGAATAATAAACTAACATGAACTTCTCCTTATATAACATAAACTATGGATATACTTACCAAATACATTCAACTTACCAAATACATTCAACTGACTTACCAAATACATTCAACCAAAATATATAGAAATGCTTCATATTCTTAGCCCCTGAGACAACATCGATCAATCCTTCAAACGGAACGAAACAACCATCGACACTGACAGTGGGTCCAGAAAAGGACAAAGGTTAGAGAAATATACGCACCATTGTATTGCCTGTTCAAATTGGTGTATTGGCTTGAGCCTACATCTTCAATGTGGTTTTTCCCCATCTCTATGTTTCTTAATATCAGATATCATTTATGGAACGTGCAGCATGTCTCAAAGAAGTGTTGTGAAATAATCTAGGTCATGATTAGTACTGTTTTATGCAGAGTATACAATTAATTATGAAATAATCTGTCATTATTGCTCTTGTTGTATGATGTGCTATATGATGCGAGTATATGTTATAATTAGACACCGGCCAAATTTCGGCCTTGGTTTCGGCCCGAAAGTAGCCATTTGATCACTTTCGGCTTAATTTCGAAGTTAGATTTTGGTTTAATTTCAGCCTCGGCCGAAACTGAAATGTTAACTTTCGGTTTAATTTTGGTTTTGGCTGAAAGTTATTGGGGTTTTCGGTCGTCCACCGGAGGTGAGACTGTCTTTCTTTCTGTCTCTAGGCTGGAAATCCGATGTTCATTATTGCTCCACGTCTAGCTGTCATCGTATGTTATAGGTCTAGTACTCAGCGAAAACTGCTCACAGCTGCATGATGACCTACTTGTACTGTATTTCAAAAAAAAAAAAAAAAAAAAAAAAAAAATTATATTAGGCATAGGCAAATGTAAACAGTTTTGTTGAAGACAACCTGGAGGACTGGTAAAATTTGTACAGAATTTGAATAATTTATTACCAAATTATTTTTGGTAATAAATTATTTACTCACTGTATCAATGTGGTTTTCAGACCTACTATTTCCCCAAGTTATTGAACTTTTAAAATGTTGCATTTGCATAATTTATTTAATATTAAATGTATTCGTTAATAAACAGTGAATATACAAAAAACATAAACCAACATACCAACGTAAGCATGCACCATAAATAACAACGTAAACATACACTAACATACACCAACATACCAACGCTAACCTCAACTAAAACACGCCAGCATTCCAACGTAAACATACAACTATTTACACCAAAATAAATCGTTAGCATACACCAACGTACCAAAGGGAACATAAATTAATATACGCACAAAAAACATTTACATACACTAAAATACCATTGTAAACCTACACTAACATACACCAAGATATTAACGTTAACATACACCGGGCCTGCACAACATACGGCTCGCGATACAGTTCCATCAAGAGGGTTAGAGACTAAAGCTTTAAACAACGTGAAACGAACATACTTGTCATTTTATCAGTCGTCGTTAGTGATAAACCTCTGACTCAAAGGCAACACTAACTGATTCAACGTTCACAGATAAATTTAGGGGTGGGGGGCAAAAATATTAAATGCCTAGTTGCCTCCAGGGGTCATAGTCCGACACTGATATTTGCGTACTGTACTAATTGCCCTCCACGCACAGACTTAACAAACAGTTCATTCAAAATTATGTATAACAAACAAAACTGCCGCCACCTGGTAGTAAAGGAAGTTAGAAACAAAGGGTAAGCTACGCTGGGTGGGACACTTGGAAAGAATGCCATGCAAGTGACAGACGAGTGAAAAGGTTACACCACCATGACCCCCAGATGAAACGACTCAAAGTCAGACCTGGGCTTAGATGGATAGATGATGTGGGAAAGAAAAGACCTTCATCAGCGTGGAGTCCAAGCATAAAAAAAGAAAAGCATCAGTTTGGTCAGTATTCAACGACCCAATAATTTATTTCGACTGAACCAGATAGCTGCTATGGTGCGGGGAACAAAAGTGTGTATGTGTGGGGTGGACAAACAAAAGTGTGTATGTGTGGGGTGGACCAACAAAAGTGTGTATGTGTGGGGTGGACCAACAAAAGTGTGTATGTGTGGGGTGGACCAACAAAAGTGTGTATGTGTGGGGTGGACCAACAAAAGTGTGTATGTGTGGGGTGGACCAACAAAAGTGTGTATGTGTGGGG